TTGCGATGATCAGGGCGTTGCGATTATCACCCCAGTCAGGTGTTTGTTTAGGGTCATTGTTCTGCTGGAAGACCCAGCTGTGACCACGGTTTAACCTTCTGCCTGATGCCTTTTCCAGCAAAACCTCCCCACAACATGATGCCGCCACCACCGTGCTTCACAGCTGGGGTGATGTTCTTCAGATTAAGAGCTTAACCTTTTTTCCTTCATGAATAGCTCTGACCATTAAGGCCAAACTGTTCAATTTTCATTTCATCCTCCAACAGGCTGCTGATCACCTGCACACTTCAGTCTGGCTTCATTATGATGCTCTTGGAGTAGCGGCTTCTTCCTTGCATGACAGTCTTTCAGACCATGGTGATGTAGGACTCTGTTAAAGGTGTGTCTGATGCCTCCAACACCTGCACCAGTTCCTTTGCTGTTGTCTTCAGTTGAATCTTTTGGACCAAAGATTTTTCTTCACTGGGAGTTAATTTAAGCCTCTTTCCTGAACAATGCAGTGTCTCTGTGCTCCCAAGATTTTTATATTTACATAAAGATGTTTGTACAGATGTTCGTGGTATCTTCAGTTGTTTGGAAATTGCTCCTAAAGAGGAACAGGACTTGTGGAGAGCCATCATGTTTTCTGAGGTCTCTCTGAGTAGCTTGGTATCAAGGGCAAGAAGGCAAAGAGGCACTGCCTCTAAAGGTAGGTCCTTTTACAGTCACAGGTGTGCTGCCAATTAACGCCTAATTATCACAATTTGCCAATCAGAAGCTTCTAAAATCATTACATCAATTTCCGGAATCTTCCAGACTGTTTAAAGTGTAAAGAATAAGTATGTAACTTTTGACCCACTAGAATTCTGATAGATTAAATTAAAGCTGAATTAAATCTGTCTCTAATCGATTGCTTTAAAATTTTAAATCCCCTGATGTGAAGAAAGTTTTTCTAATAAACATGAGAAAGAAATGTACGCTAATAAACTGTGTGAAAAAACCCTGAGTTTAAATATCTTACTGCTGATGATGTCACTGTTGTTGATGTTGTTGATGTTGTTTTTGTTGTTACTGTTGTTTATATCCTGAATGTTGTTGATGTTGTTGTTGTTACTGTTGTTTATATCCTGAATGTTGTTGATGTTTTTGTTGTTACTGTTGTTTATATCCTGAATGTTGTTGATGTTGTTGTTGTTACTGTTGTTTATATCCTGAATGTTGTTGATGTTGTTGATGTTGTTGTTGTTACTGTTGTTTATATCCTGAATGTTGTTGATGTTGTTGTTGTTACTGTTGTTTATATCCTGAATGTTGTTGATGTTGTTGATGTTGTTGTTGTTACTGTTGTTTATATTCTGAATGTTGTTGATGTTGTTGTTGTTACTGTTGTTTATATCCTGAATGTTGTTGATGTTGTTGATGCTGGTGTTGTTACTGTTGTTTATATCCTGAATGTTGTTGATGTTGTTACTGTTGTTACTGTCGTTTATATCCTGAATGTTGTTGATGTTGTTGTTGTTACTGTTGTTTATATCCTGAATGTTGTTGATGTTGTTGTTGTTGTTACTGTTGTTTATATCCTGAATGTTGTTGATGTTGTTGTTGTTACTGTTGTTTATATCCTGAATGTTGTTGATGTTGTTG